ATTGTCTGATTTTGCTGGCTAATGTCTTCCTTGAGACTCCAGATCATCTGAAGCATGTAAATTCTGAATTCTTTATCTGACATTCCATCTGCTGCAGCTATTACCTCTTCTAAAGTTGAGTTGACCTGCATTGCTTGTGGTCCTTTCTTTCCGTGTCTTTTCATACTGCTTGCGTTTCTTTCTGCTTGGTGAGACTGTTGTGTTATTGAATTTTCCCCCTATATATTTATATTGCTCTTGTATAGTTGCAAAGTCTCCCTTGCAGGGGCGGGCGGCGGCTGTGCTCCTCCTCCAATTGGGGTGATCTGTCTATCTTGCCGGCGGGCCGCTGGGCCCCTTCTCCAGATCGCGTGGTCTGCCTACCTTGCGGGCAACAGCTGGGCCCCTCCTCCAATAGGGATGATCTGTCTACCACGCTGGCAGGCCGCTGGGCCTGTTCTCCAGGTTGCAGGTCTGCCTACCTTGCAGGCGCAGGCGGCGGCTGTGCCCCTCCTCCAATTGGGGCGATCTTTCAACTAGGCCTGCGTGCCGCCGGGCCCCTTCTCCAGGACGCACGGTCTGTCTACCTTGTGGGCAGCAGCTGGGACCTTCCTCCAATTGGGGCAATGTGTCTACCACGCCGGCGGGCCACTGGGCCTGCTCCGTTGGTCGGTCGCAGGTCCCACCTTGCAGGCGTGGGAAGCGGCTCTGCTCTGCACCTCCTCCAATTGGGGCGATGTGTCTACCACACCGGCAGGACGCTGGGCCTGCTCCGCTGGTCGGTCGCAAGTCTGCCCACCTTACAGGCGTAGGCGGCGTCTCTGCTCCGCCCCTCCTCCAATTGGGGCAATGTGTCTACCACGCCGGCGGGCCGCTGGTCTCGAAAGTATATTCTTAGACAAAATTTTGCTGGATAAATGTTTCTGGACCAGTTTAAATGCCTTAGTAGATAATCAAGGGAAAGGAGGAAAAGTGACATTTTATAATAAAAATGAAGTCGTTTTATTCTACTATTTTTCTTATCCCCACATCACCTGCCTTCTCCTCCTTTCACTTTCCTCTACCTAATCTAAGGTAATGTTATTATTATTTTTTTTCATTACTGTATGTGACTGCATGACCAATGTGATTCTACAATATATATACTCAGAAAAATGAGAAATTATATCCCAACTATGTATAATACATGAAAGTATATAAGTGCATTCTACTGCCATGTATAACTAATTAAAACAAAAAAAAATGAAGTAGTTTTAATAAAATGAGGTCAGACATCTGGATATTTCTTCATTCTACTTGGCTCACAGGTAAACTAGGGGGCTCTCAGTTATGTGCAGAAAGAACTGAGACAAGGAACCACGTCCTTTGATCACACAGATGTCAGCATTTATCACCAAAGTTTTTCTGTGGCTTTGGGGGAGTGGCTTAATAATTTTTCTTGTTTTGCAATCCTGAAATGTAGAGGTTCATAGCAAAAGGAAAGTTTGTATCATTCAATCATTAAGTCCAACTCATTAAGTTCTAAATGAAACTGTGTATGGTGTGATATAAAGTGCAAAGGCACTAATATCTTTTCTAAGGATAAGCCTAGATAAGCTTATTGACATGGGAGAATCCAGATGATTTGACAAATGACTTTCTTCTCTGATTATCAAAGGTTGTCATATTTTTCCTATTTCAGAGACCCTCCTGAAAGCTGACGAAAGACATTCAATATGGTACTTTAATGTCAGTTCATTTGGCCAATCTACCAGCCTTCAGAATGGAAGGTATAGTCATGCACATGTTGTTACCCCATGTACTCAGAAGGATCACAAGTTGGAGGGAATCTGGGCAATTTAGGGAGACCCTGTCTTAAAATATAGTAAACAGGGCTGGGGATGTACATTGTACACTGTAAACCAGTAATATAGTCACCTGCTTTAAGGAAAGCAGTTCTATTTTTTTTGGGGGGGAGGTCTCCATTTTTGCTGCTACAAAATTCTCTTGCTTTTTAGGTCTAAGCCAGTGGTTCTCAATTGGTGATAATCTTGTTCCCCAAATGATGAAGTCCCATTTGATTATCAAAACAACTTGTTTGGGAATGTTCTGCTCTTTCCTGAAATAGACCAGAGATTCTGCTAATCATCCTACAATGCAAAAGACAGCCCTCCATAACAGAATTATCTGGTCCCAGATGGCAACAGTGTTAATGTTAATGAAGTCTAATCTAAATCTCCATATAATTTAAGAAATTTCCTCAAGTTTTACCCTGCAAAGGAGACGAAAAATGAAAATAGACTTGTTGATTTGATTTATTAAGTAGCCTTACACTTTACCTTCCAATCAGCATAATAATAAATGTTTGATGTAAATATCTTCTCTGAAATTCAACAACCTTTATTTTTGAGACTGATTCTTAAGTTACTTCCTTTTCTCTGGTCTAAATAATGTCAAGACTTTGGATTGTTTGTTTACTTCTGATTTGTTAATTCAAACATTAATTTAACAACAACCCTGTGCAGGTAGAGTGCTAAGAAGGAAGAGTTAAATGGTAAAGCCCAGTATTCTCATGGGTAATGGGAAAAGACTGTCACAATGTCAGATTATTGAGTACATTGTGCTCAGAATGTGTATTGCATTCAGGATGTCTTCTGTGGAACACAGAAGAATTCATCCTGAAGGTCAGAGGAAGGCTTTAAAGGGGAAGTAATGTCCAAACTGGGACTTGAGGGATGAGAGTTTGCAGGGTGATTGGGGACTGGGGAGAAAGTCAGTGAATGCATTCTTCATTGAGAAAAATGATTAAACATCCATTATGGGCCAGTAGTTAGGCACCAACCACATTGTGAAAAATGAAACAGACACCTCCTACCACTATGGGGGACTTTAAAGAACCAAAGGAAACCTCCCCTTTAATGCTTAGATCATGCTTTAAGAGTCCTCAGAACTCTACTGCCTGTCCCTTGTGGATGGGAAGAAAGATAGATACTATCTCCAATCTTATAAAGGAAGAGCTGAAGGCAAGAGAAACAAAGTGACTCCCTGCCAGCCCTAACCATGGCCAAAGATCTCAATTGTGACCAATTGAGAACCACTGGCTTAGACCTAAAAAGCAAATGAATTTTGTGGCAGCAGAAATGGAGACCGAAAAAAATTTAAAAATAAAAAAAAATAGAACTACATTCCTTAAAGCAGGTGACTTTATTACTGGTTTACAGTGTATAGTGTATATCCTCAGCCCTATTTATTATATCTTAAGACAGGGTCTTCCTAAGATGCCCAGACAGATCTACTAAGTGGCAAAACCAGTGCTTTTCTACTTTTCTTTGGTTTTCAAATGCAATTTCCTATGGCAGGGAGGCAAGCACGTCTATTTCTACCTGCTCCTTGCCCTGCTGTCTTCATCTCTGTCTTAGCCCCTGTTTTTTTGCTGGCCTCAGTGCTGAAGGAGTTTTCCAGTCTTCCTAGCTCTGATTGAAGTGGGAGTGCCAAGGGAAGGAAGTGAGAGCTGCTGTCCACTTTTCACCATTTGCAAGATCATTTCTACCTTGATTCTCTGCCGCCCCCCCCCCCCCACTTTTTTGATGAATAAGGAGAACTGAGATGTGGGACTGAAAATCCCTTTTGTTTGTCTTGGTGTTTGATAATGTATGCAACCTCTCTGGGTGGTTTAAGCGGTTTAGGTACTTTCTATAAAAGGGATCTTTTAATGACAAAACTAATGTGATTATCTGAGTGAGTGTGAGAGGCGTATTCAAGGCTTAAAGAAAATCTGTTAGAATAGCTGAATGTATCTGCTTAATCCTTTCTCTAATGTGGCTGAACAATGCTCTGGGAAGCCGTTGGTCCTTCTTTCTTCTAGTAAATGCCTGTCCCTAGAGGTAGGGACTGTTCACAGCTTTTGATAGCCTTATGCTTCACCTTCCCAGCTGCACAAAAGCACAGGAAAAGCCTGGAGGAGTCCAAAGCACCGACAGAAAGCAACATCTCCTCTGAACATGGACAGCAAGATGTACACTACAAGGCATGCTTTCTACAGGGCATCCTGAGCTGCAAGGACTGTGGTCACTATTGGGAATGCCATTTTGGAGAAGGGTCTGTTTCTGCTGATGCTGGGTGACAGGAACTTGTGAATATTATTTAAAATCTTACCTCTGAGTTGTAAGAGTAGTTAAGCTCCTCTTTTGTGTGTGTATGTGTGGGGGTGGTGAGTGAGTGGCAAGGGAAGCCTAAGAGGGGAGAAAAGAGAAACAGTTTGAGTCCTGCAACCTGCTCTGTGATTTGGGGACAAAATTATTTTCCTCTAGTATCTGTTCTCTCATTTCATGAACCAGAGATAATAAAACCTCCATATAAGTTCATTGTGAAAATCAAAGTAAAATGGGAGCATGAACATGAAAGTGTCACAGCCAAACTGCAATATTATCACATAACTTACTTTTTAAAATTTTACTTTATTTAAAAATTTAAATTCTTATTCTTTTAAGAATACTCTTCTAGATGTATAATTTAACTCAAGAAAGCATTTGCCCACTTATGTGCTGGAAGTTATTCTCTTGACCTTCAGGGAAGTTGCAATCTCGTAGGGTTGCGGATATGTAAAATGCAGTCTGAGAAAAGTATATTGCAAGTGATTAATTATAAGATGGGAGCATAGTAATAGCAGCTAACCCTTCTGTAGTATTTATTGTTTTCCAAGCACTGAGCTGTATGTTTTATTTGAGTTACCTTATTCAACCCCCACAGCCCTGGAAAGTAGAAATAAGTATCATCCCATTTCATGGATGAGGCTGACACTCAGTCAGATCAAAGAAGTCACTTTCCCACAGTGTCACAGGTGGTAAGTGGTGAGCTAGAACAGTTCTAGCTGTTTCATAGTCTAAACTCGTTGTACTGTTACATCCCAAGTTAAGAAAGACTTCCTAGAGAAGGAGATCATAGGTGGGTTCCATCCCAGAATTGAAAATGTGCTCAGTATGTAGAAGAGAAAGGGCATTCCAAGCAGAGGGGACAGCACAGGTCAAAGCACATTGCCCATAAAGTTTTTGTGCAGAGAGAAACTAGAAGCAGTTTTCAGTTAGTGTGGAGTTGGGTACATTGGAGAGTAAGAAGGGACCATATTAGGATCTCCTATACTGCACCTTTGTGGAAAAACAAGGAGGCAAGTTATTTCTTTTAATTAATTACTTTGTTTCTATCCTGTTTGTCAAAAAAGATTTTGCAGCAAAGTGGGAACTGTTGATGCCTTTATATATAGATTGGAGACACACTGGAAGATTGAAGACCCTTCAGAGATGATGAACTCATTCTTTCCAAAGAGGAAATCCAGGCTGAATGCATGTAAGTGTCTTAATCAAGATTATAATGTAGTTTAACCTGTCAAACCAGGAATACTTGTGCTTTTCAGACAAATTATGGAGTCGAAGAGAATGTTACAAGAGAAATACAGGATTATGTTCAGATGCATTTAGAGAAATGAGTTGAAAAGAGGGAGAGATGCAGTTGGCAATTCCAAGGAATGGCAAAGAAGCTATGGGTTCCTGACTGGGAGCTCACAAGACCCTCTCTTTGTTGAAAGTGGATGTCTTGGCTGGGCTAAAGCTGGGAATCAGGTTTGACTGGATGGTAGAGTTTGGAGATATCTTTCAATGCCTATTTATTACTTTCACTGGCTACTTTAAACGGAGCCTGGTAAGGATAAGGGCTAGTTCTTGTTCTCACCAGGCTCACAATATGGATAGGGCAGAAAAGAAAACAGGTAACTGCAACAAACTGGGTTAGTCATGTAATATGGAATAGGATATTATGGCAGCCCAGGGAAGGATGAGGGTCCAATTCTATTATGGATAGGTTAGGAAAAGCTTCCTGAGGAGAGTGACATCTAAGGAAGACCTAAAAGATGAGAATGTGGTAAAGGGGAAGGCAAAAATTAGGTAAAGGGAACGGTTCCTACAAATGCCCCAAAGGAAAGACCATCCTGCATTTGGGGAAATTAGCTTGTATATGCTACTCTCATTTGGGATAGCAAAAATATAGGGGATGCATTGTGAAAGTTTTTTCTCTGCCTTTTCTTTCCCTAGCATGTGAAGCAATTTACCAGAAGTGTCACAACTCTTACAAAAATGACTGAAATACATTTTGGAGCACCCCCAGAGAGCAGGTGCTGACATGCCTGGGCACACTCAATGATTGCATGAAACAAAAACTCCAGTATTTCCCTTCCCTGTGTCACCATAGCCATCCCACTGACCTGAGATCCAGTCTTCCCAAAGGGGCTACTTCTCACCTCTCAGATGGAAAACAAAAAGGCATGAAATCAATGCTCTGAATGTAAACTAGACAGATAAATATCAGTGCAGCAGGAGGGGAGAGCAATAAAGTGAGCAGGCCTGAGTGATGGTGGTAACCTGCTGAATTCCCAGGTCACGGAGTAATTTACTGACTGGTCCTAGACCCCTGGATAATTATCCAGACAGCCCCCATTCTGATGTGAAGCCTCCTGCTGCTTATGTTATTAATTCCGGCTGCAACCAGCGGGCGTTGGTGGGAGCAGAGAGAATCAACCAAGTCCCCAAGCTGCTGAGTGAATGCGGAGGCACCTGCCCAGGCCCTCTGAGCCAGACCTCACCAAGAAAACCCACTAGCTCTGGCTTTCAGCTCTTAGCACAGCCACTGCCTGGCCCTAGGGAGAGGCTCCTAAGGATGGCCAAGGCCTTGGTAAAGGCAGAAGATCCAAGTTCTGGAGTGTGACCAGCTTGTATCAAAGAACCACTGCCTTGTTCCTCTTTGGGGCTGACTGGAAAGTGATTTTGAGGTTTTCCCCAATAAAACTGATATCCAGGAAGCAATGTCAAACACTTATCTTTGATGAGGTGTGAAAATCAGACTTCACTGCCCTCAACTAAGATTGGGGAAAATGGAGGTGTATGTTTTAGGGTTTAATCACGTGAGATCTTTTTCTTATCTTTTCTGCCCAATCTACATAGATGTCCTAGCAGCATGTCTTAAAACCAAGTTCCATTTTTCATCTCCCTATACCCCTACTTTATTTTCAGCTTACTGGATTGGCCCTAGAGATGACAGGAGGACGATGTTTCACAATCACTTCTGCTTTGTCAAGATCTGTGTAGTGAGTAGAGGTATCTCTGAAATATCACACCCCAACTCAGCACTGCCACAGGACAGGTGGTCCATACATATTGAGTGAATAATTAGGAATGTATTCATGAAGACTCAACCATTGGGACTTTTTTTTTTCTTTAAGCAAGCAAGTTCAGATTTGTATTTGAAAGGATTACTTTGCTTCAGTGTGCAAACTCTCCTGGAACAGGATTTCTCAACCTTGGAATTATCAATACTTGGCAGAATAATTCTTTGTTTGTTAGGGTCTGTAAACAAGTCAAGATGGTGCCTGGCATTTTGCCAGAGGGAGTGGTTTGTGAAGTAACGCCAGCGAGCCATCAAGTGTGGAGATTCCTTATTGGTTGACTGCTGTATCTAGTTTATGTTAATTAAGATAAGCTGTGTGGAATGTATATATACCCCTCCTGTCCTACAATAAACGGCTCCCACTCCTGCTGTATCAATGTACACAAGTTGTTCGTCACCCCCCAGTTATTTTGCTGCAGCTGGACTGCGGTATTTGTTGTGGGGGATGACAGAACTTTCTACACTAAGAAGGGGAATATGTATGTCTTTCATGTCAGTAAACAGAACTGACTCTTCAAGTCCCAAGCCAGGAACACATGATTTCTTCTTTACCCTTTCTCCTTCCTCAGGCTCTCTATTCAAGCCCTTGTGTACTCTGTGAAGGAATTATGCACCAATGGTATAAATTATCCGTTAACTGTAATGGATAAACTTCTCTCCATTGAATCTAGAAATGGCACTAGCTAAGAACATTGGCTGGGAAAACTTAAAAAGAGATTTGAACTATTTTCTGTAGGGTTTAATTTTCTCAGAGGACACTTGTGGAGAAAGACTGCCAAACATTGTGTCTCTATGGCTTGTATTTTAACTGAACTTGACATTGTAATCTTTAAAATATTTTTTTCTTGTTAAAAGTAAAATCCCTGATCATTAGCATCTCTTGTGGTGCATTACCTTGGCATGTTTTAGATACCATAGTGTTATTTTCAAAAGGTCATAGCAATTCACCCACACACATTCCAGGTAAAAGGAGGCCCATGCTTTTACCTCCTTACCAGCCCAGGATTTTATTGCTCTTTGTAATTTCTCCAAACTGTTAGTATACAATTGTTGCCTTAATTTGTATTTTATTGATCACTAATGAGGTTGAAAAGATTTTCATTTCTATTGGCCACCTGTATTCCTCTTCAGTTCATAACTTTTTTCCATTTTTTAAAAAAGTTTGTTTTGTTTTACCAGTAAATAGAAGCACTTTATAACACATTGCCAATTATGCATTGACTCTAATCCCAGTCATAAGAGCTCCGTCTTCAGGACCTAATCACCTCCCCAAGACCCCACCTCCTGACGCCGTGACCTGGGGTTAGGATTTGAATATATCAATGTTTAGGCAGCACAAATGTTCAGACCCTCTACCAACAGAGCCTCATTTCACCCTGCTGGGCTCTGACAGTTAGTGCAGGGTTAACCTGCTCCCCACACCACATGGATGTCCTTATCACTCTCATCAGGCTTCAAGAGCCTGGGCCAGCTTGCTGGACATCATCCTCACTTTCCTCAGTCTTCAGTCCTCTGTAGCAAGCAGACTTCCTGTGCAGCCAGACACCTTTCTCATCCTGTTTAAGCTCTGACACTCAGTGCTGGGCCCGTGCCTCTTGTGGGAAGCCATTGTTCTGCTTGGATTCTACCCATCTATACCCCAAGTGGGGCCTTTCCTCTGCAGAGATGTCCTCCTCTTCCTGTTCTGACTCCGATACCTCACATCAGGCTGCTTGCACATGTCAATGACCTCCTAATCCTGCAGGGGCTTGCATTTTCCATGCTGGTCTGACTGCTCTGCAGATACCTCCTGCCCCTGCAGGGCCCCCAATACCCACTGTGTGTCTCCATTATTCCCCTCTCCCATCGCAGACACTGCTTTAGCTCCATCAAATTGTGAGGGAAGAGGAGGAAAGGAGAAAAGTATGCTATTCATACTTATAAACAATTTGGGGGTAGATTTTTAATTTTTTATCTCCAATATCTGGAGAGTAAAAATTTATTAGAATTTTAGTTGAAATTATATTGGAAAAAATTGAAATCATTATATTGTGAATGAAAGTTTCCTGTTAGGAAGTTTGGTAAATTTCTTTACTTGTCTTATATTTTGGTCTTATATTTTGTCATGAGATTTTATTGTTTTTTTTTTTAATATTTATTTTTCAGTTTTTTTGGTGGATACAACTCTTTATTTTATTTTTATGTGGTGCTGAGGATTGAACGATTTTATTTTTTTTAATGTAGAATTTATACATTTTCTCTTAAATTTATTCTCAGGTATTTAATGGATGGAAGTGGGAATGTTCTCCTATTTCCCTTCTGAATGGATTATCGTCATAGGAGGGAAGCTAATGATTTTGGTGAATATGCTTCCCTCTTCTTCACTGGGAGTTTCCAGATCATCTTGCCCTCTTAACCCTGGTGTGTGCCAGGACTTGATCTTCCTACTACTCTTTTCAGTCCTTACTTCCTGTATTACTCATTAATCTCCTGGTCTTAATATCATTTATGTACTGATGACTCCCTAATTTGTATCTCCAACCTCAACCTCTTCCTCGAATATTGGACACACCTATCAACTCTTTTGTCTCTAGTTGGATGTCTAATAGACGAGCTTGGACTTCTGGATCTGTTTCTCCAAATCTACTCCATTAGGTATCTTCTCTATATCAGTAAATGATTTTCAGTGGGCCAGGCTGCAGCCTGGGGATCATCCTTGAATTCCTTCAATCCCATTCACCATCCATTCTATCAAGATTCTGTAGCTCTGTCTTCAAATATATCTCACAGCTCTCTCTGCTTTACCTTTCTCTATTTTTTTTCTTCCAAGTTTTATCAGCTAATAATAGATATATTTTACTTATTTATTTTATTTTCTGTTTGTTTCCCAGCACTAGCAGATTGAAAGCTCTATGAAGGAAGGGTTATATTGTTTGGCTGTGTCTCTATCTTTAACATCTAAAACAATTCCCAGAACATGGGAGGCACTCATTAAATATTTGATGAACGAATAATATCTTGTATTCTACTATCTTGGCAGCTACTAATAATACATTTTAAAAAGTCACTTAGGTTTTCTAAGACTGTATCAGTTATAAATATGATAGAATTATCTCCCCTTTTCAGCATTATACAAATTTTGTCTCCTTGTGGCAACCCAGAATCTTCCAAACAATACTGAGTTATAGCAGTCAACTTTTTTGGTTCTTGATTATAATGGAAATGCTATCAATATTTCTCTGTTTAATGGGACATATTTTGGTGTGGGTTACTTTATCAAATTTGAGCAGTTAATTTCTCAGAGTTATAAAATATGAATGGCTACTGAAAGCAATACACATTTTTAGCACTCAGAGAATACTTGTGTATGTATTGATGGGAATGAGGCATTATTTTCCTATTTCCCTGTTATTACATGGATCTGATGACTGTTATTCTTTCTTGCCCAGATGATCCCCAGGTCATTCCCAGCACGTTTTTTTTTTCATAATTTTTTTTCTCAAATCATCATTAAGAAAAGTTGTATCTATCACATTTTCAATAAAGATTTGGCATTGCAAAAGGGGTCATAGCTCAGAATAGTTAGTACATGCAATAATTTACAGCTATCATTGATCTAAACACTGCTAACCACTCTTTGCTTCAGGGATTTTTTTTTGCTAGAAATATTTTCCACCTTTCTGCCATGTTTCCCTGCATCTAGTTTCTCCTCAAACTCTTCTAATCCCCCAGTTTTCACCTTCCATACTGTAAATTCCTGCCACTTATACACAGCAATTCAGTCCTCTCTGTGCTTTTACTCTATACAGAATTACATTTAAACATGGTTGCTGTTTATCCAGCATCTACATGTTTTTAAAAGTACCTACTCTATCATACCATCAGTAATTGATGTCTGTGCTTTTATTTCTTATATTTCAAAAATATTGCTCTATTTATGCACAAATTGCATTCAGTGAAATGCATAAATCTCAAGTTGATCAATTGGTTAATTTATTATGTTGCAATAAGCTCATTGACTACCACTCATAAAAGGATTGGAAAATTTTTATAACCCCAGAAGATTTCCTCATGTCTCTTTCCAGTTGATTCCAACCCACCTCCAATGGTAATCTACTATATTCACTTATACTACAACAAATTTATTTAGCCTATTATTGACCTTCACATAAATGGAATTATACAAAATACACCTTTGTTTCTAGTTGTTTTTCTCAATGTAACAGTTTTTATATCCATCCATGTTTTTCTATATGTTAGTAGTTCATATCTTTATATTGTTGTATAGGTTTATTTCATTGTATAAACACAAACCAATTTTGTCTTCATCTAGTCTTCTATAAATAGACACTTGGGTTATTTCAAATTTGGGCTTTTATGAATAAGCCTCCTATGAATATCACTATATAAAAATTTCATGAATATTTTTATTTGTGTCTTTTAGGCACATATCAAGGAATGAAACTGCTTGGTAGACAGGTTTATCTTTATAATAAGTTGCCAGACTAATTTTCAAAATGGTTTTAACATTATAGAATTTCACCAGCAATGTGTGAGAATTCTAATTCCTCTATCTCCTTGCTTACTTTACATAGTCAACCTTTTTTAATTTTAGTCATTCTAGCAGGTGTGAAATTGGTATTTCATTTGAGTCTTATTT